CCCCCCCCCCCCGATCCATCGCCAGTGCCCTGAAAGGACAACCCAGGCTCCATGCTTCTCACTCAGCACCACAAACTCCCCCCTCTTCCCTTTGCACTCTGCTCCTACAGGTTTTAACTCTCTTTGTGGCTCCATCCTCCTTTACTCATCATCAGGGATCTGGGTTTTCTCTGATTAAAAAAACCCCCCAAATTTTCTGATTAAAAAACCCTCCTTCCAAAATCCACATTTTCCTGTGTGTGCATGTGTGTGTGTAGTGGCATTTCATTTTAATCTTGGAGAGTTGTTTTTTTTAATCAGAAAATTTTGGATTTTTTTTTTTATCAGAGGCCAGGATCCCTGCTCATCATCCATTGCAGCTGACCTCCAGCCTGCCAGTCAGGCAGCCTATAAACTACTGCTTACCAGTAGCTAGTGTTTTAGCTCCTGAAGGCTATACCTCCTGACATTGCCCTTAGGTGGCAAACCAGTGGTTAAAACAAGGGTCAGTACTTAATACTTCTTAACTATTAAGTGCTTGTCAGTACTTAATAGTTCTTTTCCTGGCTCTGCTGTTTATTCCTTGCTGTGGACATGTGATTTTTATAGGGCCTAATTCTGCAGCAAATATTATAAGCATACATTTTGCCACTCACTTTAATGGGTACACAATCAATTCAATAAACTCTTCTGTGATCCTGATTCTGTGTAGCAGTGAACATCTGCTTAACTTTAAGCATGCAGGTAGTCCCGCTGACATTAATGTAAGCATGCTTTGCTTCATAAAGCCTTAGTTCCCACATGAGGATTTCACTGCCTGATGCAGGGGTGTGTGAAACGTAATGTTCATGGAGCACTTTGAGGTCCTTGAATAAAAGGTGCTGTGGCAGCATAAGATACTACTGTAGAACCTAGATACTACACAGGCTTTGGTTCCTTACCTGCTGAAGTAGGTTTTCACCTACAAAAGTTTATGCCTCTTTAAACAAGTTAGTCTCCAAAGTGCCACTAGCCCTGCCTTCTGCCTGACTGCAGACTAACATGACTAACACCCTCTCTCCTCTTGTGAAGATGAGGGTTTGCTAACCAGCTCAGGGTAATAAACAACGAACAGGTACACAGGACTGCTAAGGTACTCCAGTTGTTTGATGAGGCTCCTATTTTGAAGGGTACCCCTACACAACCTGCTGATGAGCTTCAGTTGAGTGGAGAAACAGCTCTTTTGAAGTAATAGCTTCAGCAAGTAAACAGCTGCTTGACTCGTATTTAATTCAGCAACGCACCAAGAGCTAAGTCATTTGTGAACCACCTGGATACTAGTGATCTGAGTTTTACTGTATTAGTAGTAACTGTGGTCGTTTGTAGAAGCTATGATCTTTATAGTACTAAAAGGCAGTACTTGCCCTTGGACATTGGCATGGTCGTGGCACTGAATGACTTCCATCACATACTGTGGTGTCACTATCTTTGTTTTCCCTTTAGAGGCTGCAAAGAACCCTGTTCTTCATGTAAAAGCTGAGGTCCATAAATCTCTGGAGAGTTATGCATCTAGTTTAGCCAAAGCTATTGAAGCTGATGTGAAAATCAGCCTGTTCGGGGAAGATGCTTTACCAGGATCTTTGTTCCCTGTGAAGACGGTACCAGGCAGCAATGTGGGTACGCGGCGTGGCGGCAGGGCTCAAATTAGCCAAAGACTTCAGCTGCAAAGCATTGATGAAGGGAATATTTGATAAGAGCACTAAAACAGAAGAACAGAAGAAACCACTAGATAGAACCCAGTACTGTTACAATTATTTTGAGACAGAGTATTCAGAGTGGCTAATGGCAGTGTTTTGGTCAAGAACATTTGAAAATACCTGGATTCTTCAAAGTATACACATACACCTGAGCTTTAGAGTAGTATTTACTTACTGTTCAGTGGGCAATAGATATTTTTGTGCCATGGTTGTTTTTTTTTATTATTTCTTATGCGATACATAGGAATACAGGATTTACCTGAAGGACCAAATAACTGGCCCTTCTAATCCAGTATCATCATTGGCCCATTCCTGATATTTCCTAGGAAAGCAAGAAAACAATTTGTGTTTTATAAGGCATTATGGAGCTTACTTTCTGGCCCCTGAGAAAGTCAGTTTATACCTTAGCACAGGGGATGACTGCTCTGATTTGAGCCTGTGAAAATCGCTACTTTATACACAGTGTTATTGTGAAGAATTTCAAATGACAGGAGCCTACATTTAACTAAGGCACAGAATCTGACCCTATTTTTCAGATTTGCAGCATCCAAATTAAATTCACCTTAGCTGGTAGCTCAGATTTTTGACTGTTTAATCATAAGAAGGTAAAATAGGAAGTTGGGTTACAGATCACTTTATTCCCCTGGACAACAGTTTCATCACAAAGTTTAGCTATATTTTTCACATCAGGTACTGTATATATAATGGGAAGGTGATAATAATTTTAGATAATTAACATGCAGGTGTTTTTAGTTTTTCCCATTGAGAATATCCATGTGGATTTCTTGTACTAAAAGGCCTTGTGCAGCCATTGAGTTTTAACAGGGATTAGACAGAATATTATAAATAGTGCCTTGCCACTTAATATTGACATTCAGAAATAATCCTGAGTTCACATTTTACCAGAAAGTTTATCTTCTTGTGTTGTTTAAGCAATATCGCTACCTCAGTGCTAGTAGTTCTTGGTATTTGGAAATTGTAAAAATGACAATACATTTTAATATGTAACCATCTAAACTTAATTTAACGTTTAACCATTTAAACCTAATTTAATGTTTAACCACTTAAATACTATTTTTATAATGTTGAAATAATATTTACTATTTAAACATTTAAATACAATACCATTAAAACACACTTGTAACTTTGCGAGCCTATACATGTGGAGGGAGGATGCTCCAATGTGCTGTAATTACTCAGTTAATTGAGTCTGCTGGAGCATGGTAATTACCATGCTTCAACAGACTCCAGCATCACATGTATCAGTGTCCCCATGCTGTAAAATGATGCTGTTCAATGAGCTTTAGTTAAAGCGCCTCTGGAGCCATTTTTCAGGGCAGGGATGCTGATACACCTGGCACTCCGGGTACTTTAATTAGAGTGGGTCTCGGAGCCGCTCTAATTAAAGTGCTTCCTCCCCTCTCCGCCTCACCCCCAGAGCATGTGTATACTATAAACAATAATTAATTCCAAGAATGACAATATCTAACATTTTTATAGCACTTTCCATTTTCCAGAAACTGTATAAACAGTACATAATTAACACATGCAGCCCCTTTATCCCAAGAGGCAGGTAGACTTGTAGCATAATCAGGTACCATTAAGGCAGAGTAGTAAAGGGCCATGTTTGTTTCTGAAGTATTTTCTAAAGTTGTGAGACTCATGTTTTGAGTGCCCCCTAGAAGCTACAGGTGCTCAGGACCTCTAAAAATTAAGGACAAGGTATCCCAGTTTGGGCACCCAAAAACCAAGTGAACACTCCTGAAAATCTGGCTATCTGTGATTTACCCAAGGCCATAGCCAGGATTTATATCAGAAGAACTCCTGTCTGCAAACTGCTAGCTTGTACCTGTCTCTGATTGTTGTTCAGCAAAGTATTTAAACACATGCTTAAGCCCATCCTACAATATTTAAGCTGTTGCTTGTCTTTAAGCACTTGTTGGTTAGGGACAGACATTACACATAAACCAGTTTAAGTGATCAGAAAATGGTTTAAACCTGTAACAGAACAGATGTTCAGTGCACATAAACCAGTTCGAGAATGGCTGAAAGCAGTTTGAGATAAACCTGCTTGAATTCAGTATCAGACGTAACTGATTTGCCTCAAACCAGTTTATGCAATGTCTGTCCCAGACCCCTTGCTGGTTTAAGACTCCCCCAGCATCCTGGCATGGTCTTTGGGCTGGGCAAGGCTCTCTGTGCCACAGCAGGGCTGGCTCCTCCCTTCTGCTCCCTGGCTGCAGCTCCAACAGTCTCTGCAGGCATCTGCCTGGCTTCTGCTCCCTCACTCTGCTAAGCAGGCATTCCTCCTCCTTCCAAGCTGTGGCACACAGGACAAAGGCAGAATCAACAGATAGCTGGTAATGTCCCTCTGTTTACTTAATGGGGTGATAAGCACTGAGTCAGGGGTAATAAACATCCCCTGCTGAGCTGTTCAGGACGGGGGAACCCTTCCTAATAATCATAGCATCCTGCTGGGCCTGGCCACACCCCTCTCAGCTCAGTACTAGAAGGGAAGAGAGGGCTGCTTTAGCAGCCCCAGGCTTCTAGCCTAAGCCACTGCAGGCATGTGCCTGCATGTCTGGGATGCATGTTTGGTTACAAAACTGATTTAGCCTAGCCAGGTTAGACTAACCTGCAAAGACTGAATCAATTCAGGCTCAGGCTTTTTGAATGTCTGTCCCTACCTATCAAGTCCCACTGAGTCAGTCAGGGCCAACCTTTTGACAAGTGTGCCACAAATTAGCCCCACATCCTCCCTGACTGCCTTCCC